TCACAGACTGCATGTTTACATTTCTTTGGCCCGTCTTTCTAAACTAAGTGTCTTTGGTCGACGTCCAATCATGGCTGCAGCATATACATCCAAGAGGAATAAAAAAAAGAAAAGAGCTTCGTTTTTTTATGGTTTTGTCGATTTGTGGCTCCTGCGTTCTGAGGAAAGTAGAGCAGCACTAACCTGCTAAGAACAACAGGTGATCATCATGAAACCATCCGTTCTCAACCGAGTTTCGGAATAGACGGATCTACTCTCAAGAAGATGTTTGGTCTTTAGTTTAGGATCTTTCCCCAATATTCCACCAAAGCTGGAAGCTTAAATATACAAACCTTCGGTTTCAAGTATCGATTGAGCTTCACCCAAAATCTGGATCCTGTATTTCTCATAATGCAACTTGCTAACATCTTTTTTGAGTTTTGCTCCTCCTGACCATTGAATGGATCCTGTGTGTGTCAAAATCCGTGGACAGCCCATTTAATATTACCCAACAACCCGTTACATCGTGTGTAATACCTCTCTGGTTTGTATTATCTTAGCGTTTCAACCGCTGTATAAATCTACATAAAACTTGCTGAATGCTTCCGCTTATTTTACAAATTCTGCTGTTTTGAAAATGGCTAAAAAGCGGCGCTTTGCTTCAGCATTAACTGGCAGAAAGCTGAAGCGCGTAACAATCACACTGATTGTACGCGACCGATAACCGTGTTTGGTGTTTGGGGAATGCAACTGGTCACGAGCTCGACGGATCACAAGAGGAGTTGATTAACTGTAACAGGAAGAGTTGAACATTTTGAGTTGTAGCTTGTTATGTCTGTTTATGACATTCAGGGGGAAACGTAAATGCTCTATTGCATGCAGCTCCGTTAAGTAGCACTCCAACAGCAACGCAGCTGATTTGTTTTCGGCACATTAAGACTGCATCAGCCTCTCATTTTACACCTTTCACTCTCGTTTGAATCCCTCTCATGCTTGTATTTTTGAGTTGAAGCTCACACATTCAGCCCACACTGTTGAAGGTATTGATGTCAGCTGCTCCGAAGGAGGCAGGATGACAGCGCCGAGAGTCACGGAGGAACTACAGACAATCCGAAGGGAAAATTATATCAGAAGATCACATGCGTGTGAAAACATCATATCTTCAACACTTCAACTGGGTTATAAAAGCAGCAAATGCTGACTTGATATGTATGTTTGACATTTCAAAACTGTGGTGGCAAATAATGCCAAATAATTAAGTTCCCATTTATCGCCACGCCCATTTTGCAGCAAATAGAACCGATGATAGAACCATTCACCTGTATTTACAAAAAGACGACGCTGCCATCGTGACGGAACTGTGACATCACCCATTGGTTTGTGGACAATAAGTGACTTTCATGGACTGAAAAAAACGTAACAACAGTTACAGTCAAAACGTAGCCGAGCCCTAAAGTATACTCTCCTTTATATTCTACTGTAGCTTAAATGGTACCATCGTTTACAAAATGAACATCTTGCCGTGTTGAAAAAGATTGGAAACTCGCCACTGAGACCATGAACCCACGTTTACAGTGTTTACTGAGGTAAAAGAATGGCCATTTTCTCATAGTTTGGAAAAGGACTGAATTACTCTAATAGAAAGTTATACACAGTTATAAAGTTATTACTTGTGCACTGTTGTCTTGTCTGTCTACTGTCGCGCACTAACCGCCAAGACAAATTCCTTGTATGTTTGGCATATTTTGGCAAATAAATGTTTCCTGATTCCTGATTCCTGATTCCTGGTACACTATGGTGTGGAGCAGGGGTCACTAGCAGGCGGACCGTATCTGGACCCGGGACCTATAAGCTATAGATAATTGAGAATGATTACGGCACAGCTTTTCCAGCCTCAGCGGCACTTGTTCAGCAGTGCAGGAACCCGCCCGACCATTTTCATACGTTGTAAATACCGTTAAATCGAGTGAATGAGCCAATCAAATATCTTCATTCCGATAAGCATCGCGGCTTGAGAGCGATACACACAAAGTGGAGCGAGGTCCAACAACTGGAGTAGTGTGTGAGTCAAAGTTATTTAACCTTATTTTACATGGCAAATTTAATAACTTTATTATTTTATATCTTCATATGGGCAGAAATGAAGTACTTTATTTTAAGATAGAGAATTCTCAAAAGCTTTCTTTGATGTATTTTTTATTTTTTTGTATTTTACTGTATTTGTCATTATTCCTGATTAGTATTATCAGGGTTTGGGTTGATTCAGAATAAACTAGGAAACTACCGCTGACCATGGAATGAAGTGGACAAACAACTGTTTAGTAGGATGCAGGAAGGCTGCTGGCAGTCTGTAAAGATGAATGGTGGTCTTTACAGAACAAATCTGCCCTTTATGGCTCCCATGTGTGACAAACTGACAGATTGTTGTCAAGTGCGCACAAAACTGCGTTCACACAGGAATAAATAAAAAAGACAGAAGACAGTTTTCGTGATGAACTGCGTTACAGAGAAACACCCGAAAGGACACATGGACCATGCACGCACAGACTGTGCGCCCACAGACAAAGCGACTCGAGGATTCTTCCATTCATTCCAGTTTGCAGTATCCTGTTGGCGGTAATCTCATTGTCTGAGTCTGTTTTATGTCCCAGAGATTTTAAGAGAGAACGTCAGATTGGAGTTTAAACTTTTCTTCTTTTTTGTTTCCTACACACACACACACACACACACACCGGTAGAAGGACGGAAGAAATGCACAGAGACGCCACGGAAACACACATTACAACAAAAATAACCACTATGACCGGAGAGGAGGCACAAGGTCAGCGGGCTTCCTCTCTACAAACTGCAGACACACACTTGAAGCATTATATGAGTGGGTTTTCCCATGCAGGATTTTTTGATTTGATAACTCACATCCCTGCTTTGTACATAGTGTGTATATATTAATTTGTCAGCTGTGTGTGTGACTGCGTGTTTGTGTGTGTAAGTGCGTATGCATCTGTTTCTCTGTGGCAGAAAAGTACTTATGTTAAAGTTACACAGTGCAGAGCCAAGCAGGTCCCCTCCTCCATCACCCCCACCAGAAGGGAAACACAAACACAGGCGTCGACTAAATCACCACCATTAACGTCAACAGAAAACCTGCGTTAAAATTAAAAGAATTAAAAACTACCATTCATTATCAATTAATTAAAGATGGCCATCGCTGAAATAATACTACATTTTAAGACATGTATCTGTCCTCCTTGAAGTTTCACACCTCAGGTGACTCTAAGCTCAGCAGAACTCTATAGCGCTGTGACAAACGACTTGAGGAGGCTCACATTATTTAAAGCAACATGGGGTTTACTCTCCGGACGACGAGCAATTTATTTTGGTGTCAGTTGTACTTATTTGGGATTTTATAAGAGCAATAAATATAAAAACAATACAGTTTCAAGTTAAAGCTTTTTCCAATTTTTGCAATTAAAAAATGTTAAATATTTACGAAAAAATTGACTAAACAAGCAGTAGAATTTTGTTGTACTCCGTAGACTGATTTTAATGCAAATTGGAGAACGACAATTCCAAGTCAGTTCTTCTCGACTTCCGATCTAAATGCAAAAAGCGGTGCATCTGCTCGGGTAAACGTGGACGCCTGCAGCAAAGTGGTGCTCGTGAAGCGGAGATACCCCAGAAACATCACTTTGCTGCAGGCGTCCACGTTCTCAGAGCAGATGCACTGGGACGCATTTAGCTCGGAAGCTGCCTACTTGGAGTTAACAACTTCCATCTAGCGAGGCTGGATGGATCTCGCTCGGGTTTCCGACAGAGTGCATTTTTGTCAAAGGATTTTTAGCAGGACCCCAGCATGTCGTCTGATTGTAAATTGCCACAGCTGCTGTTTTATAAATCCACAGGCCAGATGCTTCTGTCTGTGCTGGCTTAGAACTCCATCCATGTCCCCAGCTTCTAGCAGATCCTTATTGCTACGCATGCGTATAAGTTAAGAAAAGGTAAAGCACTAAATACATCAATTTAAACAAAATACAGTGTTGAAATCTGCGCTAAAGCCTGATAGTGTCTTCCTCACCTTGTCAGCTCAGCTTGGATCACATTTCCTGATTGTACTTAATGTTACAAAACCTATATGACATAACTCATGATGTCACAATCATATTACGAGTACACACTATACGCCAAAATAGAATGACCCGACACAGGTACGAGTCCAGGACAATTTTGCAGGACTTTTTGTTTCTTGATTTGGAACTGCAGAGCACCACAGCTGATTTGACCCTTAAATTATTATTTGTAGAACAGGTACAGCTTGATCTATTATTTATACGGTAAAGTATGACACACGGCATAAATGAGAAATTATTCAAACAAGACGATGGCATGACGTGCAGATTTCAAAGATTGAAGAAACTATGCTCCATAGAGATGAAATCAAATCGTGTTTTAAGAATTTAAATGTCTTCAAAAAAGCAGACATGTTCTCCAACCTAATCTATGTCACCAATTAGTAATTTATACTGTGATGTATAAAAAAATTAAAAAAAAACTTTTGAAAGATCTGCATCTCAACAAACAGACAAATTAAACTGTAAAGAAAGAATCTCCGTCTTCCTTTCTGTGTGTCTTTCGAATATCTTGAGAACCGCTGATCCGATATACTTCACGCTTGGTGGTCTTTTTCAACGAGTGCTCTCTTCAGACAAACAGTTTAGTAGGAGTATACTTTGCACCTTTTCTAGAAGCAGCTTTTTTGGTTTAGCAGATTGACTGGGCTCTGCAGGTCATTGTATACTAATCTTAAAACCAAACTCCTCCACACTTCCCGGCGGCGTAACAGACGATGCACATCTGGCTTCCTTTGCAAGAGAACACAAATGAACTTGGTTTCCTGTCTGAAGCCTTGACTTCTCCTATGATGGACTTTTACTACGGAAAACCAAAGGACAACGCACACGTACGATTCACACATTGAAATATCCACAAAACCAGTTGCAGCCGTGCCTTTACCATGTGTTTACCTCAGTGCCATTGACGTCCCGTTGACCGACCCGGCCGAGTACGCCCTTTGGGTGTGTCCGTAGGAGCAGCTCCCCTGCCGCGCGTACCGCTCATCCCCGCAGCACAGGATCACCAGAAAGGCCCTCCGAAATGCCCGGTTCAGAAAGGCGTACAGGAAAGGGTTCAACCCTGAATTGATGTACCCGAGCCACAGCCAGGCTGTCCACAGCTGCCAGGGCACCGAGTAATGGATGAAGGGGTCCACCACGTTGGTGATGAAGAACGGCGCCCAGCAGAGACAGAAACAGCCCATTATGACCGCCAGCGTCTTTGCCGCCTTCGTCTCAATGCGCATGCGGCTGTTCGCTATGGGAGCGTGCTCCGAGGAGGATGAGCTCGCCGCTGTCCTGAGGTGGTACTGGTCCGTCGGATCCGAGGAGGTGGAGGACCTCACGGTGACCACCGGGGTCGTCCCGAAGACGGGCGCCGAACCGGCCCGCTGCAGTGTTTCTATTTGCCGCACATGGGTCATGGCGGTGACGTAGATCCGCTGGTAGGCCAGGACCATGAGAGCCAACGGGACGTAGAAGGCCACCGTGGAGCAGATCAGGGCGTACGGCCGGTTCACCAGAAACACACAGCTGGTGTCGTTGGAGCCTCCTGACGAGCGTCTGTCCTCAATCTGGAAAGGCGACCAGATACGGAGGTGTTGGCAGGAATGTTTTTGAACTTTGAGGAGGCAAACTTTTAAGTTTAGCGGTACGATCCTGACCTGGAAACATTTGTATGGTGGGACCTTCTTTCATTTTTTATCAAAGAAATTCATTATTTTTTCAAAGGGGAAGAATATATACAACTATATTTTCATCCACCGGTGACTGTAACCCCCTCTACACATTTATATTACCCACGTGGGGTTTGGATCCACTGGACCCGGGGCAAACAAAAGTGGGGAAATTGTAGGTCCTCTGTACTTTCAGTCTTACAAGTCTACACTGGGAAACCTGATGGAGGACACCCATCAAATCAAGGGATGGGAGTTGTCCTGGACATGTCTCAGGGACTCAACATCACATGCAACAATTTATTGTCATCGTACACGCTGGGACAGGATCTCCTGAAGAGGAAGTTGATGGTGGAAACTATGAGGAAAAACAGGCCTGAGCCCCACAATATTATCCATATTTGCTGTTTATGTTGCTTCCAATTGGGATGAAGCAAACATCTGTTTTTTAACATCAGATTTGTTGACTCCAAAATACAGCAGGCTCAAGAGACCCACAACACTGAATAACAACAAAATGAACAAGGGGTAATATTGAGTAATCCTGTTTTTTCAAAGATAAGAGAAAGTTGAGACTCCTCAGCTTCATACCATCGTGCCCCCTGCGGTGCAGAGTCTCACTCTGGCTTCAGTGGGAACGGAGCAGAAACAGTTCACACCGAGCTAACACACCGTACCGTATTGTTTAACGTGTGTCCTAGCTATTGGATCAATTCTTGTGTCTTTGTGACAGCACGAGTGAGAAGGACTAACAATTTCAAACAAATCAGTGCAATGGATATTTTCTGAATGTTTGAGAGAAAGTCAAGCAACCAGAGATAATGCACACGGTGATAGACCTGGCCCAAATGTGCAGACACAATTCAGTGCTCAAGTTATATTCAATTGTATATGTGACATTTATGACTTCAAGCCAGCCAGGTCAATACAAAAGATTGTTGTTTTGGATGCTGCAGACTGACGGACAGAGAAAGGGAGCAGAGTATTTCATTAACTCTGGCTGAATAAATTCATCTGTCCTCTTCTGCCTCTGGGAGTCCTGCAGCTCATTTCAAGGCAGCTACGAAATAACCTCCCACCAAAACGTATCCAAACCAGCAAGAAATGCTCGTTGAAGTTTACGCTCGCAGCAAGAGAGCCTCCACAGGAGCTGCAATTGTTTTGTGATCACTGCATTAGCGTCTCATCGTTGAAAGGATTGCAAACTTTATTAGAAACAAAGCATATTAGGTTGGGAATGTGTGCTGAATTTACCCATCCAGAAGAAAATATCGCTCTCTTTATGTGCTAGAGGCAGTTATATGAACTCTTGTTGTGATACTTAAAATATGCAGTATATTTCGTTCATGCCGTGCCGTAACAAATTGTCATCAAAATAACAACGTAACACGCAGTTTTGAGCTTCTTTGCTTTTTGATTTCCAATCTCAGCTGCCGAGGACTCACAATGTCCTCGATGCCGATGGCGTTCCAGCTTTGCATGATGGGTAGAAAGGAGATGAATGTCGGGATGAGCCAGCAGCCACTGAGCATCCCCGCCACTCTGAGCGGGGTCATCTTGTGTCTGTAGACCAGCGGCTGGCAGCAGATAGCGTAATACCTGGAGTGAGACACACACACACACACCTGCTGTACACCAGGAAGCCTTTGAATGAGGTTTAGAATCTCCCTCTCGTTCATCTCACGCTCAAACACGCAAACCTGTCCAGCGCAATGCAGCAGAGGTGCAATATGGACGCCGTGGTCAACAGGACGTCCAGAGACGTTCGGACCAGACAGAAGATCTCTCCGTACCGCCACTCTCCGGTGGTCAGCTCGATCGCAGCGAAGGGCATCACCAGCAACGCCACCAGCAGGTCGGCAAAGGCCAGCGACACAATGAAGTAGTTGGTCTTCTTCTTTCTGAGAGGACAGCAGGGAAACAAGACAGCGTTAAAAATCACCAGAAGGTCGTGGGGTCACGTGACTGTAATAAGCTCGCACCTCTGACCCATAAAGGTGCTTCCTGTCAGTGTGACTTCTCAGGAATATGAAGCGACAGTCAAGGGTCCTGTTTTGCAATTTCTTGTATAGATCAAAAACAGCTTTTGTGTACATGCAAGATATGAAATGTCCACAAAACCATCGCTGTTTGTTGTCCCAGGCATGCTACCAATATACCTGTCCAGTCAGACACTGAAAAAGGAAAAAGGGTCTATGTAATGGGAGTGCTTTGACATTTAATGGGTTTGTTCCAAAGAATGTGTAATTTTACAACACAGTTGCCCCAGAATGGATTACACAATACATCTGTGTTTTCAGTACAAATAGCAAGCAACATACTTCCCTGGCTTTGTCTCATCCTCATTTATTTTACTGGGGTGTTAAAGTCAGACTGGACCACTGTTACTGCTGTATGTGTACTCGTCCTGCTATTAGAAATAACAGGCTCACCTTAAATGTCTATCCTTGCAGAGTGCCACCATGACCAGCAGGTTACCAAACACTGTCATGATGATAATAACTGAGAGAAAGATGATTAGAACAATCGTCTCCAGCAAGCTCAGAAATTCCTCCTGCTGCTGTTCTCCCGTTCCTCTGTTTATTACGTCATCCAACAAACTGCGAAAAAAACAAAACTTAAAACTTAGAAATGAATTTTGGAGTTATATATATATATATAGACATGTTTTGCTTTAGTTTCTGTAACAGAGGTTAAATTGATGACTTACTGTTGAGGGGATGTTGTGTCCATCACTGGTCATCTGCATTCAGGTCAGGGAGGACAGTCCTCATCACCCTATGCTCTGGCCTTGTTGATACACACACACACACACACACACTTGCAGTGAGTCTGCAATCTAGTAGCCAGCTTGCGTGTACAGACTGGTTGAATTTATTTTTGTTTGACTCTCTATCATTGTACTTCAAAAATGGAACTAGATCACGCGTGTCATATCTAGAAGACAAGAGGGCTACAACAGGCCACAGCTGTCGCTGCAAGATCCCATCAGCATGTTAGTTTGTCTTCATAATGCAACAATAATACCATGCTTTAGTCAGTACCACAGGGGGAATTCTCCTTTGGTACCCCCTTGTCAGAGCAGGTCAAAGGTCAGATATTAGCTACAGAACAGCACCTCTGAGACTAGCGGGGATTCAGCAGATCTTGGCTCTCGCTTTTAAGGACCAGTCTTCATGACCCAGCGGGCAACATATCTATTTTACGAACAACAGCATGAGATATGAGAGGCCGTTAACTTGACAATGACTGTGGGTCATTAGCGGCCAGGATCTGTGCGGCTTCTCCCTTCTGACAAATCAATATCTTCTTGTTCAGATTGGTAGACAGCTTCTTATGTCTTGGTTTTGATGTTTACAGCTCTTTAAATAGGTCCAAGAACATATGATGCTGTAGAAATCTACCCGAAAAGAACAAATTCATATGATTATGACATTTCGTCCCTCTTTGTCTTTGTCAAACATTTTGGTTTCATTTGGCCTTTGATGACGAGCCGCGGACTCAGCCAATCCCTGAGCTGAATGTACTGAGGACGTGTGGATGTAAATGGTGCGATTACGCCGAACACACTCGACTTTGAGACGCCAGCCTGTCAGGTTTAGCAGCGTGGAGGGTCTATTCAATTGAATCATTTTGTTTTTGATTCACACACAATTTTGACCTTATAGACAAAAATGCCAAGGCTAAACAAATGCATGGCCTATATGTACCAAAATACACATAAATCTTTCGAGTAGTTGTTAAAGATTAAATAATGAATTGTCTTCTTTATGGTGGCTCAAGAAAAAAGTCAGAGGCTCACAAAAGTTATTTGAATTCATCCACTAGGAATATTTAATTTCTTTATCAAACTTAATGGCAATCCATCTATTCACTTATATGGTGCCAGGACAACGAGAAATGAGTGCTGGGCACGTCGCCACATTACAATTGTGCTAACAAATGTATTAATTAACACAAGAACACTTGTTAACGCATTGTTTATCAGTCATCATAATTCATAGAGTCTGAGGTTGACTGGCTCTGAGTACACAAGCAAACCCTCCACGGGTCACAGGGGGGATGTTGATCAGTGTTGGCTTGGGCGGGGCGTCATCACGCACCTCGACCAATGAGAGTATTTGGGGGCGGGCCTAAGATTGCTCAGATGAACCAAAATAGAAATCCTTGGACCTCTTCAATTTTAAATGGTTTTCAGGCGGCGAGTTGATTGATCCAAACACACAACTGTTGTGTTTTAAATACACACAAGAAGTGAGAACAAACTGCTCTCAGTTCTGTCTGTTCTATCTGGATTAAGTTTTCTCCTCACCTAAGTCGCCTCTGGTCCCTACAGACACTGTTTCTTATAAACATCAATAAGCATTATGAACATCGATGTACCAACATACATTTATAAGAATTACCACTAACACTGAACTGAGACTGTTTATGCTGCTCCCTGATAAAAGTAAAATGTTTCTGCCAGTAACTTTAAAAAAAGAAAAATGGTTTTATAAATGTTAACTTGCTGTTGTTGGGAAGGTGCCTGTTATTATGTAACCCGTTTTGCAATAAAAAACTAGATCAAATGTTAGCTTTGGTTTTGTGTTTGATTTAGTGCTGTTAAAAATTGTTTGCAGAAATAAAAGTGCACAATAGCCTACTTTTAAATTATACAATTGAACTAAAAATGAACTACATCAAAAAATTGCCTAGCATTATTAAACACACATGTATTATAAAAATGCAATTCACCAGAGAAAGACTGAGGTTTGTCTTTCATGTTTGCATAGTAGTTGAATGAGACGATTTGTCAAAATCTGCCACATGACAAATAAGGGTTGAAAATGTCTCGTGAGTCATGGTCCTTTTTTAGTAAGTATATTTTCTTGAAGAACAGCAGAGAACCTCTCATCAGTGCACTTGTAGATGCCTTATCAGCTTTAAGTACCAATTACAACATCTGCTTTCTATGGCATTTTATGACGGCAGTCTTGTCTTATCTCCATGGTCAATATCATCTGACAGACTGTGACAGCCGGCGATCCTGTCAACAACTCATACTTCCTGCACGCAGATGACCGATTCCAGTTTGTCACCTCTAGCGCAGTAATTCTCAATCCTCTCACCTGGTGTCATTGCAATGTTTGCTGTGAGGCTTTGATGTAAGTTGAACCAAACATATCACTTTATAGTAACTTGACAATGTTTTGTTTCTGTTTGTGTTCTTATACAAGCCTGCACCCATCTTGGCATAGAACCACTTCTCAGGACAACCTGTTACAGTACTGGTCAGCCAGACTTGTCTCAATTTGCTTAGTCACGACTTTTCCTGTCGTTACACACAATATAACCTTCAATGGATTGTGAGTTTGAGGGTTCAGTCCTCTTTGGACGTTCTTCTGTCCTCTGTCCTCTGAACGTGTCTGAAGGAAGGTGTTATTTTTGGCCGTACAGGAGCCCGCATAATAGAGAGGGGCCTCGGTATCCGCGTGGCTGAAGCGCATACTACGTAGCCTCCATGTCCAACGTACGCATCGATACACAGGTTGCATGTCGCAGCTCTGCTTCCCACTTCTTTCTACACCGTCGTCCGTCAAACAAAGGCAAATGATGAAGCAATATAAAGAGTGTGAGAAAGTGTATCAAATCCTGTGTGTACGTTCACACCCCCACAGACTGGGCGAATGCTTTCTTTTCTACAAGATCTAACAAGCACTAATTTGAAGCAGACTGAGGCCTTTAAGGCACCCTGACCTCTCAGGCACCTGCCCTCCCCCCCAAAAAACACTGATTATACACACAGCAAATATAATTAAATGCCAAGTAGTGCGCAGGAATAATTTGGCTGAACAATGGTGCACCGATTGGATTGTTAAACTTTGCGTTCTCATTACGACATGCAGTTTTTAATAGAGCACCAAACCATGACTGATTACTTTGCATTTCAAATGGTCCGCCGAGGGGACTGGAATGAGCGTTATCCGCTAACACGCAGAAATCATTACTGGACAACAACACTAACACTGCCCACCCTCGTACTCGCTGCTCACTCAGTTACTCACACGTAGGAATCCAGGGAACCAGAGAATATTTTCTCAATCTGAATTCCAACAAAAAGAAAAAAAAAGAATTGAGTAAGAAGGGTGAAGAGCCGAGTCTGACAGACTGCTGCGGTTCTCTGATGTGCGTTCACGCAGCTGACACTGTTGCATAGAACAGAATGACCTCTGGAGAGACTCTGGACTTTTTGACAATTTCTGTCCTCTTATTTTCATTATTACTATTCAATCATAATCATTATTGATTTGGGCCAAAACGGAAATAAGACTTGATGTTTTGAGACATTTTTGCAGCTCTGTGAGGCTACTTACCGGCTCGGATGCACATAGAGCTAAATGCTAATGTCAATGATAACAAAAAAAATAGAATTTTGATTTTGACAATTGTATTAAACGACAAAAATCACCAAACTTATTACAACATGTACTGTAGGGAATAATTGAATGGCAAGCCATATGATAATGCTTGAGACACATTACAATAGCTAAAGATGTACAGTAAATCTTAACCTCATGCTGGCACAAAAGGAAAAGTCAGTGAATCTACAAAGTCATTAGGATTCCTGTGGGGCCCATGAATGTACGTGCAACAATGTAGTGCAAATTCATTAAGTTAGTGTTGAGATATATTTCACGGAATGAATAAAGGCTTTGACCTAGGTAGCGCTCAAAGCTAAAAACGAGACTGGATGACATGTTCAACTTATAATGGTAGATGTATGAATATATGAAAACAAAGCTGGCAACAAATTAGCAGTATGAACAATATCAAGTCAAGAGTAACACGTGCAAACATGAAATGAAATCAGTCTGAGACATTGGAACCTTTGTACATCTGAAGATAGATGGATAGATAGATATATGGATGGAAGAATGGATGCATAGATATACAGATGGAAAGCTGCATGCATAGATGGATGGATGGATAGATAGATGGAGAGAAACCCTTTATACCTTAATTTAAAAAAAATGGGAGAACAATACTGTTCTGTATCTAATCAATTTCTTAGACTACATATATCACTGAAAAATATATTATAGAAAAATAATGTTATTCTGCACTTTGTGCCACACACAAAAGCTACACGCACACAAACAAACAAGAAAATAAAAAAATGAACTCTCCAGTCACTTGCTTTCTGCCAGGTGGAAAGTACTTCTCACTTGATCTCACACCTCAGATTGTGAGAGGGCTGAACCGTGTGTAAGTGTGTTTATATGCACATATTTTTGTTTGTACGTGGAGGAGGAGCCTCTGGTCCTGTTGCCACGGAGACTGAGAGGTATAATGCTCAGCGAACTGTCATACTGTGATTTGAATTGTTTGAATAAGAAAGGCTGGCTCTCTAAAAATCTACTGCCGGGGTGGACGTTTTCTCCTGAGGATGTGCTGTGGTGTCTAGATGTTGATCAGTGTATAAATATCAATAGTTAGGGTCGAAAGATGACCATGATATAAAAAATCATCCCAAGTGAATTGATGAAGGAATTGATTAATTGGACGGGTGACATGTTTCTTCATCATGATCCAATCCCAAATTCACCAGCCTGGTTCCAATAAGCACTTTGAGTGTGTCCACTAAACTGTATAGTAAGAAAATCCTGCTAATTAAGAAAATGTTTCTCACACCACCCAGTCAACATACTACAGTACATCTGGAACACACTCCACATTTCATTTCTTGCCGTGAAAAGTAGTGTCGATATCATGTTAATCTGAAATTTGGAACACAACCTCTTTCTCTT